ATACAATTAAGTGTTTACGGTCGAAGTAGCAATAAAAACTGTGTACACATGCCATTTGGAAGAGGCTAAACGTGAATAAAACTGTCGTGTCAATAATTTTGATAAAATTCAAAATTTGTTGCAAGATCCAAGAACCAATGCAATTTTTATAATTATAAATTGTATAGCTTTTAAAATTAAATAAAAGGGTACTAAATTTCATTTTATCAAAATTATTGACACGGCAGTTCTATTCACTTTTTAGCCTCTTCCGAATGGCATGTGTAAATAGTTTTTATCACTACTTCGACCGTAAACACTTAATTGTATCGACTCTGGAATCTTGAAATAAAATTGTTAAATGAAAAGAAAAGATAAATAGTTACGTTAAAGAAAGTTTCTGTGAAACCACACAACTTTCAAGTCTATCCAACGTCATTTGACTAGAACCATGTAGGAAAAAGGGAAAAGGACTAAACTTTTGACGGCAGTTCTATTTCTAACTGAATCATGCACACAAATTTAACAAAAGCAAAATCTACCTCTTTTTTATTTTGTTCGATTTCCATTTTGTTTTAAACAAAACTGTATCTGTCTATTTATCTTACAACTGTGAAGAAATGTTATCCTCTCAAATATATATATATAGATGCTTCGCATTCTTTTTTCTATTTTCTCTCTACTACTCAAATATATACATTGATATCATTGTAAGAGAGATTGAATACAGAAATGCGTTTGGTAAAAAACAAAGCCTAATATTATATTCTTCGCTTGTGTCTAAGCGAAAAATCCAGCCGATGTAGCCTGTGTATTTTAAACAGTTCGTGAACATGGCAGAATAAAGAGAAAATTTGGTTTAAGCTATTTTTATTTGAAAAGAAAATATAAAGTATAGAGCTCTAGTGTTACTAATTCGGCATGGCCATTATATAATAGACACAAGGCCCGCGATATACAAGAAGACAGCTTCGAAAATTGAATGAATAAGTTAGTAAATTAATTAGTAAATAGTAAAATAAATAGATAGACTGATTGTTTTAGAATTACAGAAAGTTTAACGAGTAGAAAAACACTTGTAATTTTAATAAAATATAACACACACATTGAGAAAAGGAACAAGGTATAGCAAAAAAAACTTGTTTAATTTGTTATAAAACGGTTAGTTTCACATATATAGATAGTTATTGCTTTGTAAACTTTTACATATTGCTCAGAGTTGAAAGGATGAGAAGAAGATAGAAGAAGGATATTAATATCTATACTGAGATCAGGATCATACTCATGTAATGTATCAAATAATTTTGCATATCACCGGCAGTAGTGATTTTGATATGTACGAGCAATAGTGTAGTCTGGACAAAGTAGAAAGAAATGTTCTACTATTTCTAAACCAGAGCATGAGCAGAACTGCGAGTTTTGTGTTTTATCGATTGCTCTACGGTACAAGTCATGTCCGAGGGTAGAAAGACCCGCTCGCATTTGATGAAAAACGATATCTGCGCTTCTATTTACATCTTGCACTATCGGTTTCTTCTTACGAGGGAAGGCCTATAATTGTCAAATCGCTGTCGAACTGAAACTCGGTGCGCAACAGGTAATCGAGGGCGCTGAATCCGAATATCACATTGGTTTGGGCCCAATTTTAGTTTCGAGACCCGGTTTTCCGAAAAACCAGTTTTTCAGAAACTCTAGAAAATAACCAAAAGCTTTCTTAATCGAATGTAATTGTAGCCCGGAAATTTCTGATTAAAATGAGACATCTCCCAGCTCTACATGACCTTTATTTGCAAAGTTATAGAGTTTACAAGAAAAGCTCTAAATTCATTTTTCCTTTTTCTTTCTGTAGCTCTGAGGTGCCAATGAACATTTAGGTCTTTTCTTCAAAACTCTATAACTTTGCAAATAAAGGTCATGTAGAGCTGGGAGATGTCTCATTTTAATCAGAAATTTCCGGGCTACAATTACATTCGATTAAGAAAGCTTTTGGTTATTCTCTGGAGTTTCTGAAAAACTGTTTTTTCAGAAAACCGGATCTCTAAACTAAAATTGGGCTCAAACCAATGTAATATTCGGATTCAGCGCCCTCGATTACCTATTGTCCACCGAGTTTCAGTTTGAAAGCGATTTGACAGTTAAGGGTCTTCCCTCGTTAGGTATAATTTTTAATTCAACCCACAATTTTTTAAATTTCTTCATAGAACTCGCCATGCGCAATCTTATATCGAGTTGGTTCCATAACTTTATAGTAAAAGGAAAGAAGAAAAGATCGTACGCTCTTGTTTGTTTGCTGAGTTTGCGTTTTGTTGACACATTTTCCTGAATTAAAATTACATTCCGATTCTGAGACCTTAAGCCATTTCGATTATTCTGTATAAACGTGATACGATTTAGTAGAAACTGAGGTGCCTTTCCTATCACAATCTTTTGCATGAGACTCACTTTTCGAGTTTCAAATACCTCACTAAACGGCGGCCACCCTAAAACTTTAAGTAATTTCTCTTTACTAGTCAGGTGTAAGGCACCACTAACTACCTTAGCTAGTTCATACTGAAACTGTTCGATTTTTGCTATATTTTCATTTGTAGTGCCAGAATAAACTTCGTAACCATAAAGAATGATCGACGAAACTAAAGCTTGGTAGATCGGTTGCAGAGTACTAGTGTTAAAAAGAAGTTTAAATTTTCGCATTAAAAATAATATCTTATTACACTTTCCAAGTACGTAATCACAATGTGTTTGCCACTCTAGAGTAGGCGTTAAAAACACTCCTAAATGTTTATGTTCTTTGACTTCTACTAGAGCTATACCATTTAGTTTTAGTGCTGAAGTGGAAGGAGTTGATTTTCTCATAAAGGTCATCGTCACACATTTCCGTTCATTTAGAGGTAGCTGCCAATTCTGAGCCCACTTATTTACTTTCTCTAAATCTTCATTCAAAATTTTTGTTGAAAAACGTGGATTCGTTGAAGAATGATGAAGTAAGGTGTCATCTGCAAAAAGCCTACAAGTTGAACTCAGCTCATTTCCGATATCATCAATGTAAACTAGAAATAGTAAAGGTCCCAATACGCTTCACTTTGGAACATCTCTGTTAATAGATCTTGAGCTTGATTGTTTATCATTTATTACTGTAATAATCTTCCTATCGTTGTGATACCTCTTAAACAGTCTAACATCGAACCTCTAACTCCCTTACATTCTAATTTTGCTAACAGTCCTTTTATCCAACTCCAGAACTCGATGAGCTCTATCGAATGGCAAAATTCGTTTCAAAAAAAATATTGATTCATTCAGGTTTAAAATAGAAAATACTTATTTTTTCAACGACATAAAAACTCAAAATTTTATATTTTCGCCTAATATTTTTATCAACGGCTGTACCATTTCTGCAAATAAGTGTGCCAAATAGAACTCGATGAACTCTATCGAATGACAAAATTCGTTTCCAAAAATATTGATGCATTCAGTTTTAAAATAGAAAATACTCATTTTTTCTCTTATACTCAGTATCTCTTATTATTTATCAACTGTTCGAAAGTGTATTGTTCTAGTAAAGCAAAACTTTATACATCCAGCTTTCGTTGTTATTGATTTTTCTGCCGCATTACTTAATTCTGTTTTGAATGTCTTCAACTATGAAGATGTTAATCATCATCTTCGTAAATGTTTTCTAGTTATTGCTCGTGCATACACTCTGCAACAATTACGGTCAATTATCTATATTCGTTTCTGTTGTGCGCAGGTCATGCATGCGTTTTCACGCAGCTTATTTAAAATGGAAATTAAAAAAGAAATTCGACATGTAACTATAAAAACATTTTCAATTTTGTTAAACTGTAACTGTTTCGACACAGCCATCAAATTATTTAAAACTATTACAATGAGATACGGCGATCCAAATGCAGTTCATTCCCAGGATTGTATTGAACCATTCATGCAAGTCATTGATGTTTTGCAGTTTGATATCGATAAATGTTTAATTGATGATATAATTCTAAACGATAATGATAAGATCGAACTCGATACAGTCGATGAATTATTGCATTCGTCTGATTCTATTATTCACCAATCACCTTTCAATATTGAAATGAGAAAACAAGTATCAATAATGAATGATATTCTTGATAAATGTAAAAAATCTGAAAATATAAGGCGCTCCAAATTCGAAGTTACAGTGATATTTGCAACTTGGTCGTCTTATACATCACTAGACGCAAAATTTCACGCTGATCACGACTATTACCTTTAAAATTCGATTAGAGCCCATCTTCGTAGAGAAAACGACAAAAAACCGAAAAACGGCCATTTTTCGAAAAAGCCCTTTATATCTCGACTCCATGATGTTCAAAAATTTCTAAAGTCAGTTATTCTTGTTGCCCGTAAAAAACTGCATTGAGTGACGTGTGTTTTGAAATTTTTGCTCGAGAGAAAGTGGTCCAGGATTCGGCGGAGGACAGAAAGGTTTACGTTTTTATTCAGCACCCGAAGAAATGGCATCAGATGTTTTCCTTGATAGATACGAACTTGATTCTTTTGTCATTGGATTCGCCACAAAATTCTACACAAATCCACAGATCTTTTTTTCGAACTTCGCTTTCCTTATTGAGTTATAATTTTTTTATCGAAAAACGTCACTTTTCGCCTATAATCGGCCAGGTCATCTCCATTATAGTTCGACCGTTTTTCACTCAAATAAGCCCAAATTTTGGTTTTCTACACAAAAACTAATTCTAAACATGATGCTAAAGGTTTTGGAAACTTTTAAGAATCTCAAACCGGTTTTCCGGAAAATCGAATCTCCAGTAAACCCCGGAAACTTCCACGTGTATTTCCTTATTTCTATTCAGTAAAACCACTCTGGGATGATAGCGTGTCAAATTCTGAGCATAATGAAACAATTTTGAGCTGGCTAGCATGTTTCTCAGCTGAGTGATAGCAAAAAAATTGAAAGTGCGCAAGAACACAAAACATTCTTCAAGTCATAGTCACATTTCTCAACCGAATTTCTCTCAACCGAACTGAAACTATCAATTCACAGGTTTTGAACTATACTGAATCGAACGCAACCGGTTTTAGATCCATCAGATAATTTCATAATACTCCAAAAGATGTCCAAACCTTAGGATCGTGGGTCGCAATCGCAGCAAACTTTGCACTGGACCGCACAGCTTTAAAACCGGTTGCGTTCGAACATAAAATGACCTTCGAACCCGTTGAACCTGAATAGAATCCCGAAATAACAACTTGATGCACAAATATCATATAAAAATTATATATTGTCCCAAATACAATTGCGAATTGAATGCCATACAAGGCCTTTGGTGCCATCAAAAACGGCTTCCATGATCCAACTCGATGAGCTCTATCCGACCATGTCAAAAAAACGAAAAAAAAACTCTCACTTGATTTTTGACTTTCCGGCACCTTGTCAAGGCTGTATAGTAGAGCATGGATGTAACCGGACGAAAAAATGTCAATCGGACCGATAATCAGTCAGAGACTTTCGGATGGACCGATTGGCTCGACCATACATTTTTTGCAAATACATCTGATTTTCTTTGACAATTAACCACGATACCGATACGACAGGTGGTATCGAGTGTTCGATACCGATACCATTAAAGTACCGCTATCGATAATGCTCTACTATAGAACATAACAAACATAAAGTCCAAAGGAATCACATTAATCGGATGAAGCTTTGGTAGAGAAGTTTGGGTACAAAGTTATGTATTTCTTGAGTCTGATGCGTTTTGCAGGATCCTTTTTATTGAAAGATGAATCTGATCGGTTGATCCTGATCGTACTATAGCTAAGCTAGGTAAAGAAAGAACGTGCATCTACGATAATTAAAAAAGTTGTAAGTAAGCGGGTTAGTTTAGCTCGTAAAGTCCAAGAATTGTAAAAAAATAGTCTCTGTTTATTAACGGAATATCGCCTTAGAGTTTAATTGTTTCCATTATATGTTGTTCTATTCTAAACTGCGATTTCGTCAAAAATTTCTTTTTACAACGTCTAATAATTATCTGAGCCATCATGATGATTGTACCAATGAAGTACCAGAATGCAAAATCATAAAGAGTACGATGACAATAATCCCAGTAATCGGGATTGTATCTTCGCTGAATACCTAGAGTAGCGAAGAAGAATAACTAGCATGAATGCAATTTCCACATAAAAACAAAAATGTCTATCAGTTTATGAAGCTAGAAACCTATTGCGCGATAAAACAGAATATAGGTGATGATAAATTCCGCATCTTTTCATCATAATCTTAAAATTCTTCGATCTAGTTTTTGGACGGAAAAAGAAGTTAATTACTAGAGATCGCATAGTTCGTTTTATCTCACACTTTTTGGCACATGAATTATCTAAACATTTTTTCGAAAATACGAGAAATTGTAAAAAAAGGTATCAGAAAATAGTAATTGTAGTCATTGTCAAGTTGTTCCCAAAGCCTCTTTTCTGCTGTATCTTTCAATATCGTAACGATTCATCGTCTACTCTTTTAAATGATCAATAAAATTTTCGTCTATTTATTTTCGATTTATAAAAAATAAAAGTCGACAGATATAGAAAATTCAAAAAAAAGAAATAAAAAAGCAGAAAAAGAAAAACCGGTTGAAACGACAATCGCATACCCAACACAAAATCGTTTGAACGTTTTTTTGAAAAATCTTTGAGAAATTTTCAAAAACAAAAGAACGATATCGAACTAAATATCATAACGACTGTTTACTCTAGAACACACACAGTAAATCAATCAAACACATGCAAATTCTATTTTACAAACAACAAATAGGAAAAACAAGAAAAGTGAGAAAAAAGAAGTAAGAAACAACAGAAAAATGTCTTGTTTTAATTAAATATAACTTTCTCACATATGAGCCTCTAACTATATGTAAAACAAAACACACATACACACACTCGCACACATACGCAGACACACACTGGCTTTACAATAGGTACAAATACATGCAAATACTACAAACAAGGAGAAAAGAAAATGTAATAAACAATAGAGAGTTCTAAAAAACGGTTTAAACAGCGGTTGTTGACAGTTGAAAATGTTATTCGAATTGAATGTAAATAATCAGGATTTAGTAATGTTGAAGAAGCCGCCTCCTCATACTAATCGCTAAAATGAAAAAATGGTATAGTTATATGAAACTGTTTACCGAAGTATTGCTACGAACGGTATAAAGTAGTTTATAGAGATGAAAGCGACTAACAAGGGACGATTCCCAAACATCCCCTCGCTTTTTGCTTGAGACCTACATGGAGATATGTAACCAACGATGCTGATTCCGAATATCGCGATTGGAGCTGCTGTGGGCCTTTGGAGATCCAGTTTTCTAGAAAATCCAGTTTTTCAGTGAAAAATTTCTTTTCCTCAAATCCAGTTTTGGATCTGTCCAATTTGTAAAGCATGTCAAGAAACCTATGGAAACAAATTTTCATATCTATCGGATCAGTTCCGATGGATTTATAGGCAAATTACTTCTAAAATTCTGTTGGTGCGTATTCAACATTAGATCAAAATTGTCAAATGCATCGCATCAATGTGATCAAGCTATTTTTATTATATGTAGTTGGTGTACGATAATGGTTTGTTTGTATCATTTTCACTGAATATTATTTTCATTGAAAAACAACTAAAACATCTCTTACAGTGATTACAAAAAAGACGTCACTTTCTTTCGTTGTTTCTTTTTTTGAAAAATAACTCTCTGGACTCGTTCAACGTCGCTATTCGGAATCCGCATCATCTATTACCTGTATTTCATATCTTTATTCTAAAAAACAATGGCGTTTTACGATACAATAGATTTAAATTTATTTGAACTATCTCAGAAAGTCCATATACAAACGGAATTTGCCTATAAATTCATCAGAACTGATCTAATAGACATGAAAATATTTTTACATAAGTTTCTCGACATGCTCTGGACAGATCCAAAGCAGAATTTGAGGGGGGAAAATTCTTCGCTGAAAAACCGGATTTTCTAGAAAACTGGGTCCCCAAAGGCTCAACAGCAGCTCAGACACCAATATTTGGAGTCAGCATTATCGATTACATATTTCCATATAGGTTTCAAGCAAAAAGCGAGAGGGCACTTGGGCATCTTCCCTCGTAAGAAGCGTCAAAATTGGCGAGTATATCTGAAAACGTACTGCATACCGAGCAACTAAACCATGAGTAAACCAGTCTAAAACTCTACTACACTCATCTCATAAAGACAAAATATCTAATAATATCTTGCTAAGGTCTCTGAGAAAGACAAATCCTTTTAAGATAATAGCAACCTTACAAAAAAAGTATGTTTAAGTAGAAAAAACAGATAACTGACTTACTTATGCAGTTGGCATGTAATGTTCTAAAAATAATTTTAATCCATCACCATCGCTTGTTCGTCCATCCATATCTTCATCGTCATCATCAATTATATCATTTGAACGATTACCAATATTGATATCCAATTGTTTCGCTCGTTGGCAAATGAGGCATGCACAAAATTTTAATAATGGACAAACTAATTTTCCATTTTCATCATATGTATCATGTGAAGTATATAAACATTCTGGTTGTCCATGATTCTTACAATAATAGCATAGTGTACGTTGTCCATCAATCTTATCATGTAAAACATGATTTGAATTACCATTATTAAATAGCAAAGTATTATGATCAACTACTGAATTACTCATACCAGAATGATGGCTGCCACAAATTCCACTATCACTGCTGCTACCTGAAGTTGGTGATGATGTGGAATTGGATGATTCACTCGATTTGCGTTCACCATGCTGTTGTGCAGACGATTGTTCATTAAAAAGAGCATGTTGAAAATAAGAATATGTATTGTTCATCATAATGTCTGTATCAAAGTTGTAATTCATTGGATCATATTGAATTGTTCGATCGTTATAATAAAGATAATTGAACGACGTTGGAAATGTTAAAATTTGAGATTGTAATTGTTTTAGCATTAATTTATTTGCTGATGAACGTTTAGTATGATACATATTTTTTTATTTAAAAAAATACAAACGAAACACGATAGTACTAGAAAAGAGACTACTGTACGGTTTTAAAAACTATAAAACGAGTGAATGAATGAATGAAAGAAACGTGGTGATACTACATTTACTTTCACAAATACGTCTTTCTTCTGCCTCCTTTTCTTCTCTCTATCTCCTTTCGACGATAACACGTGCAAAATTCTTTATTTAAAATGGATACAAAACTGTACATATAGATGATTACATAAAAGTGTAATAAATCCAGGCAAACAGACAAATTTGACTACTGACGTAAAGAATTTGTCTAGGAATATACATATGTTTGTATTTAAGGCTTAGACAGCAGTATCATGGTGAATGCATCTTTCAAATGTGCGCATCATCAATTATGTGTCGAAGTGTATCTTCGTGAGACGGAGGCGGCACAGAACTATAAAATTCTCCAACACCGCTCAGACGAAAATTTTCGCAGAGAATGTGCCTGGTACATAGCTGAAGACGTTTAGACATCGAGATGTGTGGTAGACAAAATATAATGACAAAGAAAAAACAAAAGTTTGAATTTTAAAGATAAATAAATGGACAGTCAAAGGAAAACAAAGAAGCTGGAACAGACAAGACACTCCCCCCTAAGCAATAAGTTAATAGAAAAAGATTAAAGATTCGTATGAGTGTCGCAAACTTACTGCATACGACAGGAAACTTTTCTAGGCAGCAAAAAAGTCAAAGAAAAAACATAAGAAAAGTAATCAGTATTTCCTCAAAACGAAAAAAGATGCTCTGTGGTCTCGATCTATGGTAAAAATTCCAGCTCTACACGTCACATACTTCTGGAACGATGTCAGGCACTCTCTAGCGAACATTCAAAAATCTCTCGATTCCTGCAAAATGAGAAATTCCTACAGACTCTTGTGAAGTCGTACAAAAATCAGGAACCCCTTGAAAAGTTTTGAGAACTCTTCAGATTTCCCATATTTCAGGAAGTCCCACTGAACTTCATTAGGGATTGTCCATCCACCAATGCTTTGGCAACAATGTTCTTTAAAGGATCTAAGATACTAGTGGGAATTTATTCTCCTGGATTTGTTCGTACTATATTGGCTGCATTAGATCAACATTCATTATCAACAGACTCTTTCGTTAATGAGCCATTATATGAAAGGTACATAAACATATTTCAATGATATTGTTAGATTTGTATGAATTTTCAGAGAATACTGCTCATCTTTTGTTCGCAGAAAAAAGTTTCAGATTTTTAGATCTAACTTTCTTTTTGTTCCGTAGCTATGTCATCTGTAGTTAGCATTTTTATTCGATCCTATTGATAAAAAAGTGTACAAATACCGTTTCGTTAGGACCGTTAACCTGGTTTTTTATTCCAGCACGACTAACCTGCAAAGAATTGTAAACAAAATTGTAAAACAATATGACTTTTTTTGACTTAACATTTGTTACCATTACATTCTAAATTTAACCGCTTCATAATGTGTTATATCTTCTCGACGATACGAAAATAGTCTTTATACATAAATGACACATTTTAAAGAGGTTTAGTTTGAATGTGATGATGCAATACAATTGAATAGATAAGTTTGTCCAATAGGCAAAGGGAAATTCATTACTGTTGCAGCAGCATTTTCATGAAACATCTTAAGTGAGTTTCAACGTATCTGAATCTAGTTTATATCGGTAAGATTGTTTGTTGATGTTGTCGAATGCATGACATTTCTAGAGAATGTTGCTCACCGTTCGTTAGCATAAGGAAGTTTTCGATATATGTCGCCCACTGGCTTGCAGATCAGAAGTCATTTTCCATAAAAGTGGTATTTTCTTTGTGTCGTGTGCTATTTTATAACTCTACATTCGTTTTTAGACAAGTGACAATTCTGTCGTTCATGCCCGTAATACACTATTTTATAATAAATATATAATCAGTACTCACTAGTTTACCTATCGTTTCCCTAAACTAGACCACGAGAAACATCCAAGTCTCGCTCTAGTACGAATACGCCTTTGTTTCGATACCTATTGCTGTTGTCGTTGACACTACGTCGTTCGTATCCTGTCCATCTGACCGCTCGTAAGGGCGGATTAACAGAAAGTGCAAAAACAGCCATTTTGTCGCAAAAACCTTAAACTTAAAACTTTGTTTTCCTTCTGACGAAGGAAAGCCCTGAAAGTTTTTACAAAAGGTACATCGTAGGTGAGGTTTGAACGCTTGGTTCTCTATTTTTCACAAACTGCCATGTAATTCTAAGGGACTCAGCAACAGAACGACAATGGCGCAACGCAGAGAAGAGAATTAGCAAATGTCTAATGCGTTTCGAGATTTTTTAGATTTTCCTAATAGAATATGTTCCAGTCGAATTTTAGCCTCTGAACCTTCTTATATTAGGTTTTTTACCATAGATGCGGCACATAAAACTTGAACAGTACTTTTCTCCGTCTTGGGAAAGTATTGCTTCTTTGACTAGAACAACAAATGTAAAGAACTGGGGAAAAAACAACAAGTTGTGTGGCGTGGAAAGTTATTAAAAAGTTTTCCTATTAAGAATCTTTTGATACTCCTACAAAAAGAATGATTCCCTTAGCTTGGTGTAAATTAGCTTGGTACAAATTTGATGTCTCGTTGTCACATCCTTCAAGTAGAATGAATGACGAAAAATGATAGATAGTGAGAAAAATTGCTTTTAAGAAAATGTTAAAACAATATTCACATCTTGTAAGAGTACCCATGGACAAGAAAACAGAATTTAAGAAAATTTCATACGTTTTTAGGTGTAAAAGATTTTTGTACGAACAATACAATCAAAAACAAACACGTAAACTGAGACATTTTACGAAACTTACGTACACTTACGTGCGAACTCTTAAAAAGATTACGTTAGTTTACACATAAGCATTGTTTTACATGTGAAGCGGTCATCTAACGGACAACTAGCCTTCGATTTTACGACGGCTTACTCGTAAATTTTTCGTAAATGTTTATTATTTTGCGAAACTTATCCAAACATTTTACGAAAAATTTTGCTCATGGGGTAGTTCTATTCATTATGTTCGAAGAGTTACAGTCAGAATTGCAGACATATAGCGGTATTTTGTAAGATAGAGATGGAATAAATTGTTCAAGATAAACTTTCTTTTTCACTCTTTGTTCTATTATATTTCATAATATGTGAAGCCATCTTTGTTTTATTTCTTAAATCCGATCGATGAGGACATAATGAATAGAACTACCCCATGAGCAAAATTTTTCGTAAAATGTTTGGATAAGTTTC